TTCCCTACTTTTCTTCCTACTCTCTCTCTTCTTTATAAAGAGAAAAATAAGAGCCTTGTTTGCCTTGTCTTCAGCTATAAGCCTCTTGGGGTCCATTTTGGCATGTGGCTGTGTTGTAAGATAGAGCAGTAAGTAGAAGCAAGGACAGGAGAGGTTACTGAGGTTCAAGTTTGTGAAATATTGTGAACCTTGCATTTTTTTCTAGGACAGTCCTCAGATCCTTCTGCATTCCTTACCTTCTTCTACAAAGGGTGATGGTGTGGTTTAGTTGCCAATGGCACGTGAACACTGATTTAAACAAAACAAAAAAAACCCCAAAAACCCACAACCCCCTACTAAATAGTTCTGGAATTATTACTTTAATGTGGAATATACAGCCTGCCTTGAGCTGTCTCAAGACAAAGTCATACTAATATGTAATAAGCTTATGAATACAAATCTTCAGTACTAAATCAGCAGAATTAGAAGTTAGGAATGTGGCTGATACTATGTGATCACAAAGTGACTTACTGGGTTCACTGTACAGCAAAATATGTTTGTGACTAACCCCCTTGGTTTGTTCAAAGCTGTGCTCTGATCAGCCATGTAAGCATCTTAATGGTGCACCAAATTCTGTTACTACCCAGTACAGTCTTCTGTACAAAAAAGAAGGCCTTTGGCCACTGCCCTATGAAATGCAGGGGGTGCAATTAGATTTTCTGTGGGTAAAGGGACAATAAAAACAAGGGCAATGACAAATAGATAAGGGACGTGAGTTTTAGGCCCGTTCCCAGCATCTGCTATGCCGCTATGTAAATAGCAGATACTTGGGATACTCTTAGATTGAAAATCCTGTCAAGTTCTTAAGCGTAGACATGTTCCTTTCAGACTTGTCTTCTTGTGATTCCTAGTGTCATCAATTCAAAAAATCATTTACTAGATTAGATTACAAAATGATATTTAGCAAATTCTTGCATAAAATCCATTTATTTTGGCAGTTGATGCATGGTACAGAGCTGGGCTTTGATTTGTTCTGGGAGTGCTCTTTTGTTCATGTTATCCTGAGACCTATGCAACACTTTATGATAATACATTAAATACAATGACTAGGACTTGTTATTTATTTTCCTTCCTTGGTTGAGCATTGAGAGCAGAACCACATCTTCTATAATACAGTGTGAAAGTAGATTTTGTGCTGAGAGGCACACGTCCTTGCATAATATAGAAGACAGAAGTAACTGTATATCTGTAGATAATGAGGATTTCTCATGAGATTCCAACTTTTAATCTTTTGGTCTAAAGTATTTTTGTTTTCAGGTATTTTTGTCATAGCTGCATATTCCTCATTAAAAATACCTGCAAGAAAAAAACTTTCTGCCTGTTTTTTTTGCATCCAAAAATATGCAAAGGAAAAATAATCCCAAGATGGTCTTGAGTTGCGTGACCTTTCTGCTTTTTCCAACATAGTACCTTTTAAAAAATAATAGCTCTATATCTTTCTCTAAATCATTTATAAAGCTGGAATAATAGTAGTGTGGTTTTTTTTTTTTTTTTCTTCTAGGATTCCCCAGAATTTGATTTACTATTTGAAAATGCTTTTGACCAATGGGTAGCAAGCACAGCTTCAGAAAAATGCACGTTCTTTCAGGTTCTACATCACACTTGTCAGCGATACCTTACAGACAAGAAGCCAGAATTTATCAACTGCCAGTCTAAAATTATGGGAGGTAAGTCAATCGAAGCTGGAGTACTTTGCGCAGTTGGACGTGAAATGATTGTCACCTGAGTTATTCTGTGTTCAAAAGAGCTTTGCAACCTAATTACACCTTGAAATCATGGGTCTGAATATGCTAACTTCACAGTAGTAAACTTCTAGGCTTCAGCATTTCTCCATCAAGCACCACTTCACACTTCTCTGCTATCTTTGCTTCCCTAGTCTTCAGTTCTAGAGGCAACATCCACTACCCACCTTGTAAGAAGTCATTTTCCTCCCTCTTTTTAGCAACCTTGACTTTGATTTGTCTCTCTATTTTTGTTCATCCAGAAACATATCTGGATGGCCTGAAATACGTCCTCCTAAAAGACTGTTCTGCATTGCTGTTTCCTCACAAGTCTGAAAAAGTGGTTATTACTAAACTTCCCATGGGTTTTTTGGAATTTACTTTGATCTTGACAGAAATCCATTAGTTTAGAGTTTTGTTAGGTTTCTTAAGTCACATATCTTCAGGTGAATTTCCAGGGTTAAACTAAAAAACCTCTGGTTAGGTAAAAAAAGTCTGTTATTTACCATGCACTTCCCAAGCAACAAAAACTATTTTTTGGGCAGGATATTCACATATTTCACAAAGTACTCTTCAGGAAAATAAACTGTTTTAGTTGTTCCCTTAGACTGAAATTTCTGAAAATAGTCTCCTTTTTGTCTGCTCTAAAACAGAACACTTTTTAAAAAACTCTTATACCTCCCGTGTTCTGTATAGCTGGAATAAAAAATTCGGTTTTTCCTTCTCAGTGGGTCTCCAAACTGTAGAAGAGAAGTGTAAGCTGACTTGGGGTTTTGTTTAGTTGCTGTTTCTTGCCCCCAATAGACATGAATTATAAATATGGAGAGCCTTACTCAGTTCTTTCTGGTAATTCTCCTCTCTCATAAATCTAGAATATGTTCCTGCACACTATTTTCAGAACTATATTTTGTGCAGCCACCTTTATACGTTCTTTTTTCTGGCTGTTATTTTGTCTTGCATCCCTTTCTTCTAAAACACCAAAGGTAAACTTGAGGAAGGGGGAAATCATCTCCAGTTTGGTGCTTACGTTTTAGCTACTGATACTGAGGTTACCATTAACTGTGGTCATAAGTCAGAACTGTCTGTCAATCATCCTTTTCTCTTAGTGTCTTCTCAAACTAAGAAAAAAGGCACAAAATTTCTTGTAAACTTCGTCTCTCGTTTTTTTTCCCCTTCCACATTAACAAGGTTTCCTTTGTTTTCTTTTTGCTGTGTTGGGGAGGAGGAAGGAGCAGTTTCTGCACTTGATGGGAGAAGATATCTTTCCATTTCATATGGAAGAAATCTCATATCAAGCCTTTGTTTGTCATCTGTTTGCTAATGATGTTCACTTCCATCCTTCCTGCTAATAAGTCAGTATTAATAAACCATCACACAATTCAGCCTCTGAAATTACTTTGTTCTCATAAGCTTGACCTGTCCAAAATTGAGTTCCTCATTCAACTGATCCAAATATTAACTCTCATCCTAAACAAGTGTCATCACAGTGGGGGAAAAAAAAATTGCCACTGTGGTTCATAAACTTCTGCTTGACTTCTAGTTTTTCAACACACAGTAGATCCTACCATGTCCCATGAAGTATACCCACATTCTCTCTATTACAACTTCTTAGCTAAAAAGGCCATCCTCTGATAGCAGATGGTGACTGTTTTTGTATTCCTTCCCTGACATTCTCACCGTGCACAGATGCGGTCTGTGTGTGTACACACACGGTACAGACTGTGGACATGGTACAGGGCTAGGGACTAATAAACCTCCTTGTGGATACAGTGCTTCTGCTGTTCTTCACACTGTCAGCTTTTTCCTCACACTGGGTTACAGACTCCCTGTGGATAAGTTTAAATTTGACAGAAATTATAACAACTGTAAACCAAGTAATAGTTGACCCTAAATTCCAGTAACTTTCTGTGTGTCAGTCTCACTGAGTAATGGGAAGTCTACCAAAAATTTAAAAAAAAAAAAAAAGTCCTCATTAGCAAATAACCAGTATCAATAATTATAAAAGGCAATGAGATCATACTATTGGAAATTGTCTTGTAATATGTAAGGTGCAATACTCTTGTTTAAACATCTGCTGTTCCTTTGAATATTCAGATTGGTATTCTTAATGCAACACTAAGTTTTCTACAGAAATATTATATCTGTACTATAATTACAAGCTTTATTGGTATGTTCATGCATACAGATAAATTCTTATTCAGTTCCAAAAGCATTGTTCTAACACCCATGCTGGTATTTCTTGAATATATAGGTAATTCATTACAAAAAAGTAGATGAAATTAGCTTTTCAAACTAGATTTTTTTTAGTTGTGGAAAAATTATTTTTTCTGCTATGTTGTGTAGCATTTTTCCTAATGTTCTAGTATGGAACATAAATGGGAATATATTTCACTAATCTTTCCATCATCTTCAAAAGTTTTTGCATTACTTTATATTTAAGTGCATGTATCTAGAGGAGCCATGCTTCCTCCACTGATTAAAAAGAAATAAATAACTGTCATAGCAGCTTTGAAATATCTCCCAATTAAAGGTAGGTCTCCTTGGTAATATGTAATATTGTGAAGTTATTTCAGTCACTGGGTTATGTTAGTTGGTCTATTACTGTGAGGCAAATGGAGTAATGAAGTGACCAGAAGCAGCACCATTCATTGACTTTAGAAGCTGTTCTGCGAGTCGGGAGTTGGCAGGCTCAGACACTGGGGAGATACCTGCAGTTCTGCTAGTCCTCGTTTGAAGCCCAGGGATGGGCTAACTGAATATCAAAACCCATTTAGTCTGAAACCTGCAATATCAGTGTTTTTTTTATGGAAAATACAGTGAAATGTGTTGTCAATCTCAAATTCATCCTGACTGGAAAAAGTAAGGTCCAACTGTAGCCAAGCAAACCAAAGAACATATACCTGAGGATATAGCTTGAAATTAATTAAAATCAGTTAAGAATTTGCAACTTGAGTTTTTTAGTTTTGTTGGGGTATTTTGCTAATAAGCCAGAGCAGCATATTCAAATCATTCTTAAACCTTAGCACAGTCAGATTTCGGATGAAGCATATAATTTCATCCCCTCTACCAAGGTAGCATTTATGTTGCAAGTGATATTCTTTTGAACTTTCTGGGGGATGTGAAAAGTAATATCCTTTTTGGATTGTTAGTCAGTTTAACTTCTAATACCCTACAAGTATTTTTAAATAAATTGTTAGAATATATATGCATACACCCACATGCTTATGTATGTTATGATATAGATATGTGCATCATATATGTAATGTGAAATTACAAAATATGCTAATGCATATTTTCAAAAACAAAAAAAATGCTACCAAAGAACACTTCCTCCCAACTAGAATTGAAGATGAAAGAACTTGAAGGGGCTTATTTACAAGCTTACTTATCTTATTAAGCCTTGTTCCTTCCTAAAGGATAGGAGTGAAGAAAGTGAAATTCATGCTGCTCCTGTTTCTGCAGGAAGTGCTTAGGAGCTTACCCATAAGTAAAGATGGGCGGTCCCTGTGGAACTGCAGACCCTCTTCATTGCCTCCCTCCTTTTACCTCCCTACACACACTCTTCCCCCTATGGGCCAGAGCCCTGCCCCTTATTCTTCTTCTCCAGAACCACTTTTTGCTTTATTTTCATTTGAGTATCATGTAAGGATATAGTCTGTAGAGTTAAATAGGCTAGACTGTGTTCTGTAACTTGATTAATGACATTAGTAATTACAGCGATAATGAGAACTGATTAAAGGTGTGGGTGCTAATTCTAAGAACAAAGAACAAATTCAAATTTAGGAAGACTGTAACAAGATTCCTCCCACTAGGATCTTGTACTAAATATTTCTAGTTTGTCTTTTGTTTAGAATCTAGAAGAGCCCTCTTCATAGCTTACGTGCATTCTGGATGTTATTTTGGAGAGGAAAGGCAAGGCAGGCATTTGGGGGTAGAGGGATTTTTGGCTGAGGTAGGAAATATTTTCCACTTTTGTATCTTTCTGGCATACGGGTTCTGATACTGGAATTTGTCTAATTTGGAGTATCTTTGTGTTATGTTAATTGTTATTTGGTGGGCCAGGTTAATCAGATTGTATTGCTTTTACATCAGTAATGTAAAAAACAAAGTTGGCGATGAGTGGTATGCAGAAATTTTGTCGTCTACAGGTTGTGTTCGTTAGAAAAACTTAATTCTTGGCATAACATTAGGCTGGCACTGAGAATGGATTTGACTCATTTCTGGATAGAACCCTGTGGTACAGCATTTGAAGCTGTTCAAAGGTTAATTCTGGGCCTATAAGAGTAAACAGTTGCTGCCACCTTTAGGTGCATGTTAGAAATGGATAATCCTTGGAAAGGAGCAAGACCTCAGGTTGAAGGAAGATGATGATCTTGCGATTTTTTTGCTGTAGTTTTAAGCTTTGTCCTATCTCTATGCTTTGGTTTTAACAGTCATGCTACTGAATTAATTAAAATATTCTTAAAAGTCCAAAGTAATGACGTCTTTGCCTCTGTAACCTTTTCTCTAGGACAACTGGCAGGAGTTATTAATGGATCATTCTTTTTCTCCTCCAAGAGTATATTGCCAATGTGAGAATGGTAATGAGTACTACTTTTTTCATATGCTATTGACTCATTTTAGCTTACCACATTTGAGACCTGGTAAGCCATACTCTGCAAAATTAATGACTGACTAAAGGAGATGAACAAAAACTTGTCGTTAGGATGGGAGGAAAGATGATTGCTCCCCTCCCTCCTGTCAAATACCTGGTATTTGTTGGTTTCAATTCTTACCTGATAGCCATTGAAAAAAGTGTGTAACTTAACATATTATTCTTACAGACTTTCACTTGTAAGTTAATTGTGATGCAAAAGAATTTGACAAAAAGAAAAAAAAAAAAAAAGGGACGAAGTATTGACCGTGTTATTTTGGTCGTGTTTTGCTGTTTTGAAATTACTGATCAG